TCTTATTTAGAGTATATTTAGCATGTAGGATTGAATTGGAAAATCTACTCGGTTTAGCGTGAAATTGATGCTTTTGCCAAAATGAACTCAAGCTTCAACGATGCCTCTGCCGATTGGCCTAACAAACGAAAGCTGAGCTCGTTTTCGTGCGAGACGAGAGAGGATGTTTTGCGAAATGCGTCAACCTAAACGTCGTTTCAGTTTCTCGTAGCCTCGTGTCCCAAGAGACATTCTCATCCATAATGGAGCTGATTGCAAGTTCAACCCCTCCTCGGCGTTGCGCGCCCCCAAGTAGTGCTGCCGTGTCAAAGGGGCAGTTTGGCGTTGCTGTAGCGTGTCGAGATTGCATCCTGTACTACCGCAAATAGGCTTGATTTCCGCGGGGGCTACTGACGAGACGAGTTGTGGAGAGGTTGCAATTGCAATCGAACCAAGCCAGGCGAGATGGAAACACTAAAAGTAAAAACAAGCTGTAAAATTTTGAGGAAATTCCATTATCAATCTTTTACAAATGTATACGATCTAGGATGATTGGAACTCCCGTTTAAGCTCTGTTGATAGGCTCGAAAAGCCACTTAATGGGAATAGAAATAAGATGGCCGTTAAAACAAATTCAAGTGGAAGCTGATTTAGCGGAGAACTAGTTGCGGCCAAAACTGTAGCCCACTTCGAATCGGAGGAGAATTAAGTTCTGGAGGCCTATTTAGTTGTCTGTACAGAAATGTGTTGCTTAGTTCTAACTTAACCTTACGATTGGTTGAGGTTGGCTAAGAGAGAGAGTGACTTAAAAGTGATATTCTCCCGAAGGCGCATACAATTATGAGGAACTGATGGTGGAAAGTTCCCATGATCCAATGAATTTGCCTCATTATGCTATCAAACTTCGCTTGGCCTTGTATCCCAAAAGGCATTCTCAACCAGACTTGACCGAATTTTCCATCCCTCTTGTGTCTTCCTGGCAGCCTAAGGCCTATTTGAATGATTGTGGGAAAATCCAACTATCCTTCATTGTTAGGGAGAATTTCATTTCGAATGAAAGTGCATGAAGAAGAGATTCGTTGGTCGATCTCACAAGATCAGGACGGATGAATCCCGACGTACTGCAGCCGTTTGGCTTTTAGACGATGTACATGTTGACGCAGTCCACGAGACTTTCTTCCTCGTTTTGGGTGATAACGTGCTGACCTTTCGTCCATCATTCGATGGAGAAGTGGAAAATGAATTCACCACTTCAGAGAAATGCAAGGGTCGCTACTGTTTGTGGTCTCCCTAAGGTTCACAAAGAGGGTGCCCCCTAAGATTAATTGTAAATAATAAATAAAGTGTGAAGCATAAAATCTCACGGTTTGTATGCATACAATTAAGGAAGTCTGCCAATTATTGGCTATATTTAGTTAAAAATTGGTATGATTTTGTTAAATGGCTCGATAAACAGATAATTTTAGAAGAGGATAGGTTAGTCAGTTTTGAGGTTGTGTCTATGCGCACAAAGGTTCCTGTTCAAGGAGCTATTCAAGCTGTGATACAAACTCTGTAGGAGCATCCGGCGATAACACAATTAATAAAGCTGACTCTTGCCTCCATTATTAGATTTATTAACCTATTCGAGAGTACCACATATTTTACCTTTGATGGTAAGTTATACGAACCAACGAAAGGATTAGCGATGGGATCATGCCTGTCTGCCATCTTAGCGAATAATTATGTGGCAAGATTTGAGGAACACTTCCTGCAAGAGGCAATACCAACACCCAAATTGT